AATTTTTATTCAAAGGAACAAGGAGTCTTGTTTCCAGCCATAATGAAGTAGCAGGGATCATATTTACTCTCCTGATTTAAACAGCTATAAAACTGGACAAAATGTATGAAGCAGCTGCTTTCAGACATGAGACAACAGACAGCACAGGACTGTGATCCCGGAGAAAAGGAAAACAACAGAGGAGAGCCCTGTGATCACCCATATTTTGCCTGGAGGCACATTTGAGACCACATAGTAGGGATGGGTAATCCCGAGCACAGCACAGTGTTCTCTCTGAGTTTGAGGAGCCGAGATAAGAGTTCAGAAAGTCTTAGAGGGCTGGAAGCTGGAAGACAGAGTTCTGCAGAAGGAACTATACAAAAATTAAGCTTCAGAGATTTACATAGCACTCCTTTTGAGTCTTTGCTAAACATTAAGGCATAAATGTGTACGATGGAACTCCACAAGATTGGACAACACGGTGGCTGGCAAACCATGAACTGAACGGTTCCCAGAACTCACAAAGGTCTAAAAATCATCTGAGTTCCAACCAACTAAAGTGAAGCCTCCTCATTGATCAATCAAGACATAGCAAAGACCCTGAAAAGGCCATACCTCACTTAGAAGTGGGGTTAAACTACCCCTAAAGTAAAGGCTACTTTAGACATGCCCTAACAAAGCTTGAAAACAAGGCTCGAAAGGATCAAATCGAATTGCAAGTGACTTAACTGTCTGCTAGAACAAAGCCTGGAACTCTTCAAAAGAATACAACAAAATCCAGACACTCAACAACATAAAATTATAATTTCCAGTATCCAAACAAAAATTACTAGACATGCCAAGAAGCATGAAAATGTGATCCAGACCAGGAGAAAAATCAGTCAGTAGAAACACCCAGAAATGACAAAGATCACAGAGTTAGCAAAAAAAAAGTTAAAACAATTATTAATATTATAACTATATTCAAGTATTTAAGGAAAACGTGAAAATGGTGAGGAAAGAAATAAAAGATAAAAAGAGTTAGGCCAGGTGCAGTGGCTCATGCCTATAATCCTAGCACTCTGGGAGGCCGAGTTAGGAGGATTGCTTGAGGTCGGGAGTTCAAGACCTGCCTGAGCAATGGTGAGACCCCATCTCTACCAAAATTAGAAAAAAATTAGCCAGGTATGGTGGCATCCACCTGTAGTCCCAGCTACTCAGGAGACTGAGGCAAAAGGATTGCTTGAGCCCAGGAGGTGGAGGTTGCAGTGAGTTATGATGACACCACTGCACTCTAGCTCAGGCAACAGAGTCTCAAAAAAAAAAAAAAATTCACATTGAATTTCTAAAGATTAAAAGTACAATAGTCACTAGACGAGATTAATAGCAAATTAGACACTGCAGAAGAAAATAGTGAATCTAGGAAATAATAAATGGTAAACCCACACCAGAAACTGAAACTGGAGCCTTTCTCTCTCCTGCCATGACTAATTGGTTAGTGAATTTTTTCATCAGGATGACTGTCCCCTAAGAAAAGCACCCAAGTCTCCCAATTCTCTTATTGGCCACAGCACAAAAAGATATGCTGATATACAATGTTTGGTACTTCTTTAAAAAAAATACTTAACTTTTTTTTTTTAAGGAAAACCAGACTCATTGGTATTCTATGACTTATACATGTAAAAACATATTTGCATATGAAAGGCAATGTACAAAAGCTAAAATAGGTAGGGCGATGGAGTTTAGGCAATTGCTATTATTTTGAATATTCTACAGTAGTGTTTATAAAAAACGTACAGTACGGATATGAGAAGCCCTAACTGTGTGCCATAAGGTCCCAAGTTTGGAATAAAAAGCTTTTATTCCCACTGAGCTCCAGGGTGAATCAGACTCTAGGACACTTTCCTACTCTATCCATACTTACATGAGACTGTTTTGTATTAGAAAGTAAAAGAAAAGAAAAATATATCTTTCTAGGTCAGAAACCCACTTAGGGTAAATAAGTGAGGTTCAGGATGGAGCTGAGAAAAAGTATGAAATTAGAGGAACGATACCTGCCTCAAATACAGGAGTGCTCTGTTAGCTTTCTCTCTGACTCTTGAAGCTAACCATGCTCCCTGGTTTCGATCATTTAAGTATATGTCTTTGTTTTCCAACAAACTTACATTCTGGAAAGCCAGGACCCTGTCTTTTTGCTCCATGTAAACTCCCCTATAGCGCATACCTAGCACAACACACGGCATCTGGTAGTTTGTCATTCACATCTGTTGAATATGTGACCATCCATCCCCATTGCGGACTCCACAGACACTTGACCTCCATGTGTCTCTCCAAATACCCTCCTTACAAACTGTCCCGCCCTCCTGCAGGGATTCAAAGGGTCCCATGTGTTGGTTGTCTATAGGCTCCTCCACAGGAGAAAATAATAAATAATTGATATTTCATGAAGATGGGATAATATAAAACATGCTAAGAGAACTCACTTGGGAATTTGTGGAAGAGGCTCAAGTGGAATAAAGGTATCAAATTTCTTTTCATAAGGCACTCTGAAAAACAGAAAAGGCAAGAATAAAATTGGATGGCATCTAGAACAGAGATCAATACATCATTGTGTTCAATAGAATATCTTATTTTCTTGTTTCAGTTTTCAAGCACAGGCTTCAAACCCATAAGGACCACAATTTTTATTATTTTTTATCATTTGTAATCAACGTCACTATATTCCACATGGTTAATTTTTTTAAATCATATTTTAAATGTAATACCCCAACTATTTTCCCTTTAATTTAATGATCCTCCTGTTCTTCTCAAGCACTTTGGTCTAAGTGTAGCTCCAAGTTTAGATCAAGCCATATAGTAGTCACTAACCAACTATCTGATTTGGTATGAAAATGCAAACTTGTGGAAATAGAAATAGGAACAAAATTAACAACTACTCTTTCACAGTCAAGATTCTGCATATAATTTCAATTATACACATGCATATGTGCATATACTAATTAAAGATGAACTTTTTAAGAAATTTTCATCCAATCATGTCTTCTTGTGGTCTACTCCTTTTAAAATATAATTTATATGTATAGAAAGAGACATAATTCCTTTAAAGTTAACTAAGTAACGCTAGGATTAACATACACTTACATTGAAAAATTCACTGGTGGGAGGGTTGCTCCTGCTTTGTAGAAGCCTTTACTCTGCTCTGGGTACATATATGGATTATCCCCTGGAGTTAACTTTGGGATTCCATTCCTAGGATCAATATCTGTGGAAAATGTTTGAAACAAAATCATACAGTGAGCTGAAGATGATCCACAGTTTTGTTGTATCAACATGACGACGGAAATAGAATATTTTAGTGTTTTATTATGAGTTCCGTAGAGGTTTCTTAAAGTTCCATTGTGATTATCTTGCCTTTAGGTGATGAAGATAAAAGTGTGAGTCTATATTTGGAACATTTTCCGAAAGGTGTTGTTATGATTACCTTTGCCCTGGGAAAGAATTATTAGGTTCAGATGGAGTGTTTTGGTTTAAAACATACGGTGAATCAGAGATATCTTTGCAATGATGCAAGGATCTCTGACTTAAAATCTTTTCATTCCTGAGCATTAGTGCACTTGAGTCCCTGAGTCCTGGAAAGCCCAAGAAGCAAGTACATTTGGGGCTCTGCCTCTCTGGCTGAGTCCCAGGAGGAAATCAGCTAATGAGTGTCCTGTTCTTCCTTCTCCTTCAAGGACTGGGGCTGTGCAGCACGGTAGGTGGCTGCTTGGTGACGAGAAAGTCCACTGCTGCTAAGCACACCCCGCTTACTCAGCTGAGGCTCTGACGCCCAGCTCAGCCCCTTCTAAAGCCCTGGGAACAAGAAGCTAATCACAAGAGCAGGAGAGGAGTCAGCCTGGTACTGGATGGTTATTTCAATCCACGCACCTGACACAGATACATCTCCTGAGAGAACAAGCCTGGACTAAGGGCTCAGAAGCAGGGATATCTGGCTGGAAGCACAGCCTCCTTCTTTATCACACACCCAGTGAACAGGCCTCTACTCTCTCTCTCTCTCTCTCTCTCTCTCTCTCTCTCTCTCTCTCTCTCTCTGTTTTGATATTACCTAACTCAACTGTACCTGCAAGATGCAAGCTAAAGGAAAACCTAAGGAAGATTTTTTTTTTTTAACAATTGGTAATCAATTTATTAAAACAGTTGACTTAAGCATCTGCAATGGTGACTTCAACCTCAACTCCTGGCTCAATACTGATAGAAGTAATCTCCTTAACAATCACAGAAGGACTGTGCAAGTCAATGAGTCGCTTGTGGATTCTCATCTGGAAGTGAGAACCTTCTAACTAAGATTAGAAGGCTGCACCTGCCACCATGTCTTCCTCAAGAAACCTAAGGAAGATTTCGGATAAGCTATATCTTACCTACCCAAATTCCTCTAGCTAACTGGGGAAAAACATCTGCAACATAGGTGGGAGTTTTGAGTTATGGGAGTATTTAATTCTTTACCTTTCTCTTTCCAGAGTCTTTTCAATAGCTAAGAGTCTGTATTAAACTTTTCATTAGCTCTTACATGTACTAAAATAGCATCAACTACACTCATGCATTTGAGTGCCTGCTGGCATGAGGTGCTGAGGATTCAAAGCAGGGACAGTTGAGTGACCATATCTTTTGAATCCCAAACCAGGACACTGACAAGTAAGAGTCAGGTGACAGCAAGAGGTGAGGAGAAGGGTTTGAACTTTGGAGTCAGTACACCTGAGTTCAAATTAATTCTGCAATTTCTAGTTCTGTGCCCTTGATCTATTTATTTAACCTCCCCACACCTCAGTAACATCATTTATAAACTGTTGATTTCCAACGGCTACTTTGCAGAGTTACCATGTGCACTAAGTGAGGTTGGAGGCCAAGGTGGCGGACTAGACGCAGCCTGCACAAGGCAGCTCTCAGAGAGAGGACTGAAAATGGTGAAGAGACACCCAACTCTAATGGATCATGAGAGTGAGAGCACTGGGAATCCAAAGAGAGGAGGCGGGAGTGAAGTGGGAGCTGCTCAGCAAGACCAGCAGTAATTAGGGAAGGTGCCCACACACGGGAAAGGGAAAGAGAAAAAAATCCCGGCCTCCACGATTCCCCTGAGGATATTGCAACCAGAGAAGTGGGAGGGCCCCTCCGCTGCAGCAGGCCTGAAACTGAGACAGAGACGTGACTGCAGGCCGTGCAGCTGCAGCTCCAGAGAGAAGGTGAGGCTGGCTTGCAGGCCCTGGGTGCTGTGGCTGGTGCCATTGTAACATCCCAACCCCAGAACGCTACTTTTGCCCAGGGGGCAGATCTGTGACTGCATCCTCCCCTGTGCCCCTACCAGGCAGGGAGGGAGCAGAAATCCCGGTGCTCACAAGCACCCCATGGGCAGGTGGTGTGCACGCCTGCCACTGCTGCTGCCCCAGGGACCATGGGCAGAGCTGGAGACCAAGGGCCTGCTACCTGCTCTGTGGCCTGAGTGATCCCGCTCAAGTGCACTTCCTGCGGGACGGGGCGGAGCATGCACCCATAGCCCTCGGTGCCTAGAGCGCACTGCCAGGACAGCTGAACCAAAGCTTCCTCTGCCACTACCGAAAGGCCCCAAGCAGGATGAAAGCCAGCACAGCCATGGCCTTTGGATCTGGGCAGTCAGCATACCACGGAGCGCACCATGCTGCTCAGGCACCACCTGAGCACCCCACCTGCCCCAGCCCATGCACCATAAGTGACCCCTGGACCTGCTCCTTCCCAAGGAGGTGCCCTGTCCCTCTTTGTCCAGGGTCCCACACCACCCCCTGTAGTGAGCTATGAGCCACTCCACCCCATTCCCCGTAGGTCTGCGGGCTGCTTCTCCCTGAGCACTGCTATGCCCTGCATCACACCCTATGAGGACCTCACCTAGCCCATGGCACCTCAGCTGCCCAGTCCTTACACGTGCATTCCATGCCCAGTGGACCTCGTCCATCCCACATGCCCCGTCCTGCCAGCCAGTTCCACCTCGTGTGCACACCTGGCACCAGGGGCCAGCCTTGCCACAGCGGCCAGGAGACAACCACAGGGGAGACCCAGCAGCGCATCAGCGTTAAAGGCTCACAGTGTAGCCGCCCCTCTCCTGCCTGGTCAAGCTTCTGGAGTAGGACCCAAGCATGCCATACAGGGACCCATCCCTATCTTCACCTAGCAACAGAGGTCACAGCAGAGGAGAACAGGTGTACCATATCTGCTATCTGTTTAGAGCTGAGAGAAGTAGCTCCAGATGAGAAGGCACCAGCATAAAAACCGTAGCAACATGAAAAAACACGCTGTCTCAACACCCCCAAAGGATCACGATAGCTCTCCAGTAATGAACGCCAACCAAAAGGAAACTGTTGAAATGACAGACACGGAATTCAGATTATGGACATCAAGTAAGATGAATGGAATTGAAGAGATGGTAGAAAACCATCTCAAAGAAACCAAAAAAATAATTCAGGACATGAATGAAAAATTCACTAAAGAGATAGCTAACTTAGAAAAGAAACAAAGAAATGAAAGAGTCATTTAGGGAATTCCAGAATACATCAGAAAGCTTTAACAATAGACTAGACCAAGCAGAAGAAAGAATTTCAGAGCTTGAAGACAAGGATTTTGAAGTAACCTAATCAGTAAAAAATGCAGGAAAAAAAGGAATGAATAATCACTGAGAAAAATATGGGATTATGCATAGCAAGCTAATATAAGAATTATAGGTATCCCTGAGGGAGAAGAAGAAAAAGCAGTAAGCATGGAAGACTTATTTGAGAAAATAATAGAGGAAAATTTCCCTGATATTGCTAGAGGTTTAGATATTGAGATACAAGATGGTCATCGAACATCTGGAAGATTCATAGCAAAAAAGACATCACCAAGACATATAATCATCAGCCTGACCAAAGTCGAAGTGAAAGAGAAAATCCTACAAGCTGCAAGATGAAAGCAACAAGTTACTTACAAATAAAAACCCATCAGACTAACAGTAGACCTCTTAGCAGAGGCTTTTCAAGCCAGATGGGATTGGGGTCCTGTTTTTAGTCTTCTTAAACAGAATAACTGCCAGCCAAGAATCCTGAAAAGCTAAGTTTCATAAATCAAGGAAAAATAAAGTCTTTCCCAGATAAGCAAACACTAAGGGAATTTGTCCCCACTAGAGCTTCCCTACAGGAAACGCTTTAAAGTGCTCTATACATGGAAAAGAGCAATCAATACCCACCAATGTGAAAACATCCAAAAGTTAAAGCTCACAACCCTTATAAAGCAATAAAACAATGGAGAAAACAAAGTAAGTGGGTACCATTCAATATGATGAACAGAATAGTATCTCACATATCAATACTAATATTGAACATAAATGATCTTAATCCTCCTTTAAAAAGATATAGACTGGCTGAATGGATGAAAAAACACGCCCGAAGTATCTGCTGTCTCCAAGAAACCCATATAACTCGCAAGGATACTCATAGATTTAAGGTAAAGGGATGGAAAAAAATATTCCATGCAAATGGAAGCCAAAAGCAAGCAGGAGTAGTTATTCTCACATCAGATAAAATAGACTTTAAATTAACAATGGTTAAAAAAGACGAAGATAGTCATTATATAATTATAAAGGGAGCAATCCAGCAAGAAGATATAACAATCCTAAATATATATGAACGTAACGCAGGAGCTCCCAGATTCATAAATAAAATACTACTATATCTAATCAAAGAAATAAAAAGCAACACCATAATTGCTGGAGACTTCATCACTCAACTGACAGAACTGAATAGATCATAGAGGCAGATCAGCAAACAAACACTTGACTTAAATAGGACTCTAGAACAAATGGATCTAACAGATACCTACAGAACAATTCTACCCAAAAACTGAAGAATATACATTCTTCTCATCAGCACATGGGACATTTCCGAAGATAGATTATAGGTTAGCCCACAAAACAAGTCTCAGAAAATTAAGAAAAATCAAAATCATTTCATGTATCTTCTCATATCCCAGTGTAATAAAACTATAAGTCAACTCCGAGAGGAACTTTCAAATCTGCACAAAGTCATGGAAATTAAACAACCAGCAATACTTGGGTCAATGATGAAATTAAGATGGACATCGGCCGGGCGCGGTGGCTCACGCCTGTAATCCTAGCTCTCTGGGAGGCCGAGGCGGGCGGATTGTTTGAGCTCAGGAGTTCG